TGGTTTCAAAATTCTATTTTATTAAATTATAAAACGTGCATTTCAACCAATCAATTATTTTTATTCCCAAACTCGATTGCTCATTCCAACAATTTGCAAAATCAATTTTAAAAGAAAACTAGTCCCTGTGGAGACGAACTTGGAATATTTCCAGATTATTATTTGTGACAGTGTGCACTTGCACTCGTCCCTCTTGCTATTAAGCGGAGGCGCAACAAGTTTTTGGTGCCGTTGCCGGGGACTTTATTTTCATTTTAATTTATTCTTAGTGAATTATTTTTGTGTGCAATCACTCCACCGTTTCTGTTCTGAAAATATCCTCATATCCAACCTCAAAAGTGAGTATCAGTGTATGAGCACAAATTCATATTTGACCCTACAATCCAGAGATCGAGAAAACCTTTAAGAGGTTAAGACGTGAACAGAGACTGAAAAACCAGCAAGCAACAATCCAAAAAGAGAAAGAACGTGAGCACTTCAACAAAATGGCAGAAAATGTAGTGCCGAACCCAATTCACGTGGCTGACCAAAGAGACCGTGCAATGCGAGATTATGCAGCCAYAATATTAGAGGACCTGAACTCTAGCGTTATAAATTCGTTTCCAGCAGATGCCAAATTTGAATTTAAGCCAATGATGCTTCAAATGTTAAACAATATTGGCCAGTTTGGGGGGCTTGAACATGAAGATCCACGCTCTCACCTTAAATCTTTTATTAAAGTTGCTAACACTTTTAGATTACCTGGAATCTCTGATGATGCATTAAGACTCACATTATTCCCTTTTTCTGTTTCAGGCCAAGCAACAGCATGGCTGAACGCCTTCCCGTCAGACACCATTACCACATGGAGCGATATGGTGGATAAATTTCTTGTTAAGTACTTCCCACCGACAAGGAATGCAGATGTTCGGGAAGAGATTATCTCATTCAGACAAAAGGAGAATGAGGCGGTAAACGTTGCTTGGGAACGTTTCAAAGATCTAATAATGAATTGTCCAAATATTGGAATCCCAGCATGCGTACAAATTGAACATTTCTTTAGAGGTTGCGATATACTGACTAAGATGATGCTTAATGGGGCCGCAAATGGGAAATTTACATCAAAATCTTTCAACGAGATAGTGGAGATTCTGGACCAGCTATCTGAACACAATTATCAATGGTGCTCGGAGAAATCAAGGACCCAATCAAAACGAGCAGATCCAGCAGGCGTGCTAGCCTTAGATAATATGACGTCTATGCAAAAACAAATTGACACCATCACTCAAATGTTGAAGAACATGGAAAAGAACAATGCGRCTGCCGCATCAGCCYCAGCAACAACCAATCCTTCTCCTGTTTACCAAATAGCTGAATCTACTTGTTATTATTGTGGAGATCTACATCCATCTGAAAATTGCCCTTCTAACCCTTCTTCTATGTATTATGTAGGTCAAATGAATCAACAAAAATTCAATCCTTATTCGAACACATACAATCCGGGATGGAAGCAGCATCCTAATTTCTCATGGAGTGGACAAGGAAGTTCCAATACTACGGGACATAATCAACAGTACAAGGAAGCTTATACCCCACCTGGATTTCCAAATTCACCTGCTTTTCCACCAACTCCACATCAATACAACCAACAGAAAAATTATGTGCAGCCGGCACAACAAAACTTGAGTAACATGGAGATTTTAATGAAGGAATTGATAACCAAGAACGATGCCACAATGAAGGAATTAATGACTAGGACTGATGTTACCATGAAGGACATGAAGGATGTGAAGGATTACATGGGCAGAAATGACGTTACGGTAAGAAAATTAGAGATGCAATTGGGACAACTTGTGAATGAGGTAAGGACAAGACCCCAGGGTTCATTACCGAGTAGTACAGAAGAGCCAAGAAGAATAGGAAAAGAGCATTGCAACTCCATTGCAACAAGGAGTGGACTAAAATATGAAGGGCCTCGGATGCCAGATGAATCTTCCCATAGCCCTTCGAGAGAGAAAGACACACAGGCCGTACCTGACAAAATAGTAGAACCAGCGGTAAGTGTACCGGTTGCCCCACAGGTAAGTAACTCTAGACCTCCTCCTCCCTTCCCCCAACGTTTAGTAAGGAAAAATCAGGACAATAATTTTCGTAAGTTCCTAGACATCTTGAAACAACTGCACATTAACATACCCTTTGTTGAAGCTCTTGAGCAAATGCCTACTTATGCAAAGTTCATAAAAGACATAATAACTAGGAAGAAAAAGTTAGGAGAGTATGAGACGGTAGCTTTGACAGAATGTAGTAGTAATGTTTTTAAGAGCAAAATGCCCCCTAAGCTTAAAGATCCTGGCAGCTTTACAATCCCTTGTTTAATAGGAGGTAAAGATGTAGGGAGAGCACTATGTGATTTAGGGGCTAGCATAAATCTCATGCCTTTGTCCATTTTTAAGAAGTTTGAAATAGGGAAAGCTAGTCCTACCACCGTCACACTCCAGTTAGCAGATAGATCGATCACCAAACCAGAAGGAAAAATAGAAGATGTCCTAGTAAAGGTTGATAAATTTATTTTTCCTACTGACTTTATTATTTTAGACTGTGAAGCTGACAAGGATGTGCCTATCATTCTCGGACGCCCATTCCTAGCTACAGGAGAAACTCTAATTGACGTTAAAAAGGGAGAACTCACGATGCGCGTTGATGATCAGAAGGTGACATTCAATATGCTGGATGCAATGAAATATCYGGACGATATGGAAGAGTGTGCAGTAATTAGCATTGATAAGRGAATTACTTGTTATGAGTTAGATGATTTGTTAAATGCAGAAATAGAGGCAGAGTTAGAAGAAGCAGAAAAGGAAGGCATCATAGCGACAACTGCTTTGAAGAAAGAAAAGAGAAAGTCAATTCAGCCTTTAAAAATAGAACCACCGTGATAGGGAGGCGATTTCAGCGAATAAGTGACCCTCGCCTTGGTTTTGAGAACTAAAAGAGGGATTTGTCTTGTATTTTATTTATTTTATTTTTCTTTCTTTATTCACGCATTGTTTGTTTAGTTTTTTTTTTTAATTTGATTATTTAGTTTGAATAATTTTGCAGGAACAATAACATGCTTAAATGTGAGAGGTTAAGATGAAAAGAGGAAATTTTGCTAAGAACTTGCCTTGGTGYTAGACGACACAACCATGTCTACTTTCCACCATCTTCAACCACATCGTGATRTTACAAACAATGAAGAAAATGATTCAGGKAGTTTTTTGTGACCTCCAGTATTATTTAWTTYAATGCAKGTTCTATTTCTRTTAATAAATYAGTAGATGYGCATGTTAGGACTTAGRTAGTTAGTTGATTTTGTYTTTTGAAAGCATGCTATCAAGTCGTGGATATTATGATGTGTTGCTCCGSGCTAGCATTGACATGCATGGAAATAATAAAACTTGCTGCCAGATTTTTGTTTTTGTGAATCTTCAAGTGAATGCACAATTGTCTAATTAATTTTAAGCATGAAAAGTCTTAGATTTTCCATCTTTGAGTAGGTTCTTGTTCTTTTCTCATGTCGATGATAATTAGGAATATGCATGAGCTTTGTTTTCTACTATTTAGATCAAGCTATGACTCATTTGCCACGTTGTTTTAAGATAAACTCATTTCTGCTTCTTTAGTTTCAACCTTTAAACTTTTTACATCTTTTAAGAGGATCTTTGTCCTTTAATGGTAAAAAAAATTTTACGGACCACCAAAATTTTTTTCACACTTAAAACCAGTGAGGACACTGTCTCCTTCAAGTTTGGGGGAGTCGCTTCCCTCAAGTTTGGGGGAGTAGCGTAAGCAAGCCTAATAGAATGCAGTGAAAAAAATAATAATAAAATAAAATAAGAAAGGTAAGAAAAAGTGTGGAAAAACGAAGAAAAAAGTGGCAAAAGAAAAAAAGGAAAAAGTGATAGAAATTTTTGCAAAGAAAAGCAAAATGAAAATAAGAGTGGAAAGACAAAAGCGTGAAAGGAGAAAATATGTGGCAAGAGAACTTAATGAGAGAAGAAAAGTAAGGAAGCTTGCCTTAACTCAGTTCCCACTCTGTTTGCAAAAAGAGTCTCACTTAGGGATACTCATAATTTTATGGTAGCAGCTTTGATCTAGTTGGACTTTGTGCAACTCACTAATCGACAAGCTTGGATTGGTTGCCAGCCTAGAGAATCCCTTGAATGACTGTCCTATTTTCGAGTCATTTTTGTGCTAGAAAATTTTCATTAAAGGGAGTGTGCATAGTCTCTACYGGATTTGAAAAAGTCTTTTGAGTTAGACAATAGAAGATTTTGAAAACCTTTTATCTGTTAAACAAAGGTGGCCTTATGATGATTTTGCTTGAGAAAAGTAGTAGGGATTAGAGCTTTGACGTTCCTCCTGAGACACCATATGAGCAAATTACTCGGCTCTGCTTGATGTTTGGTTTATTCTTGAATTTTGCATGCTTATTATTGATTTGATAGTTGTTGTTCTTGCTTGGGGACAAGCAAAGTCTCAAGTTTGGGGGTGTGATAAGTCTTGAATTTAGGGAAAAGTGTTTACAAATTGTGGATGTTTAGTGTCTTCTGAAATTAAATACATATGTTTCATGCATTGAATCCGGTATAAAGGGTATTATTTCTTAGGAAAGACTTGTACACTTGGTTTTGGATAAATAGATGGAATTATGAGGAAATATATATGTTTTATAGGGAAAAAGGAAGGAAAAAGCAGCAATGCACCTACTGCAGATGACACATAGGCTATCTTAAAGCTAGCAGCAATGCGTCTGGCGCATCGCCAACACTCCAGATACTTCAGCAATGCGCCTGGCGCATTCTCCACCTACAAATAAGGGCTTTTGTTGACCGGGCAGTTAGAAGAAATCTCAACCCATCCMTTGATCCGTGCAACCAAATGCTGTTAAGCCCCATTGTAGCTCCTCCACTCAAATACCCAAGATTTTCTCCACAACTTGCAAGGTTTAGMTTATGAATACCAAGTTCCATCAAGCTTCAAAGGGGGAGCTCACTTGACATTTAAATTYCAGCTTGCTTTCTCTCTAGAATTTATGCTTTTATAATTTGTTTTGTCTTTAATTGTGTTCAACATTCCTAGAATTATTTTTATTGCAATTCCTTTTTGTTGTTATCATTTTCTTTAGATTTTGGTTCTCGATTTTAATTTAGCTATTGTAATTACTCTTAACTTAATATGACATTTTATTTCACTCCATTTCTTATTATTTMTATTTTTCATGTTTCTATGAGTAGCTAATTTGCTTTTTCAACCCTCCTACGAATGACTTAGTTTCCATCATTTTAATTACATCTATCAGATAGCACGGCGTTTACGCKAAATATGCTTATCTTGATTGAGTTAATTAATCTAGTTGATTTTACTTGCTGGCCACTTGTTTAAATYACAACAGTKGAGTTTAATTCTGAAAAGGTTAGAGTCAAYGGAGTTCATCAAGAYAAAATGGGAAGTTACTTAGACATAAGAACTTAAACAAGATCCTAGASATAGGCTCTCTTATCCATTAAACGTAAGTTGGAGTTTTAATTACTTAGGATTCTTCTAGTATTTTACAGACATGTTTTAAATACTGGCCTAATCTTCTAAACAAACCAAAAGCGGTATGGAATAGGAGTTGAACCAGTTTGCAATTAGAGAGTAAATTTAGTATGAGATTCTGATAGGTGTAATTCATTTCTCTTCAAACTAGTCAGTAGTATGAGGGTTGGTTTCAAAATTMTATTTTATTAAATTATAAAACGTGCATTTCAACCAATCAATTATTTTTATTCCCAAACTCGATTGCTCATTCCAACAATTTACAAAATCAATTTTAAAAGAAAACTAGTCCCTGTGGAGACGAACTTGGAATATTTCCAGATTATTACTTGTGACAGTGTGCACTTGCACTCGTCCCTCTTGCTATTAAGCAGAGGCGCAACACCTTCCAACATGAATAATACCATAGGAAACCAAATGCRAGGAACTATATAGCCTCAGCTAAGAAACTTTGTAAAGGAGAGATAAGTATTAAAACGCCAATAAGCATAAACTCAAGAAGATGTTGTAGCATAGAAGAGAAGGAAAGAAAACGTTGATTATGTCATAGAGAGAAGCTTGCAATATAATACTGTGCTCCAATCATTTAACAACAAAAATCCAATCTTTAGACAAATTCATTTCTTTCATAGACATCATTTCTTCATGAGGCATTATGGTTGACACAACCATATGGTAAATTATTTYGGAATAAAATGGTCCATTTATTACATACATATGGTACYTTTTTCCTCCTATGAATATAAACCCAAGTTGAGATTGAGAGATCAAAAAATCAAGAAATCAAGCATGGTAAAATTTCCCCTACTATGGATATAACAGAGCCCATCTCATTGTGAGTGGATTTCTCACTCAACTACTATGTAAAGTCTAAGTGATATAACACTTTCCAAAGAATGAGCTCTCTTTATTCTACTTCCAATGAAGTTAGATATAAACCTTGAATTAGCACTAAGAAATTTTAGTTTATTTCAAAATCCAGCACACTAGAATGCATCATCAAGGAGATTTGAGAAGTCATAGAATCTACGGAATTAATAGGTTTCATTCATTGTTGATAGTTGTGCCTCTCAAATTAACTTCCATAACTCCGATTGCCTTCATCAAAATTAGATAAATCATGCATTRGGATTTTGAAGGCAAACAATAAGATAATTCATGCATGATTTTTCCCATATGCCATATCAAAACAATTAAATATTAGCACAAGTAGTCAATATAATTGATGAGATTCCAGCATAAGGGAGTCCAATATTAAGATATTACTTGGCAATATTAAACTGAAACTCTCCGGTCGAAACAATGCAATGTATAATATCACTAGTTATACCATATAATACAGAGTAGGGCATAATGTTGACCGACAAAATCAATCCTTAATAACTAAAAAGTAAGAATAGAAACAAATGAAATATGAATTTCTCATCACAATAAATCCATGTCCAACCGAGAAATCGACCAACTCATGTGTAGAATGCAGGAAAATGTTTGTGCCATATGATAAACATACACAATCAATCATAATCCAGTAAAAATGACAAATCCTACCATTCTGTGAAGGCTTTGACTCGTTATTGGATTTGTTTGTGTTATTTTCTTTGCTGTAAAGAGTACAAATGATCAAGATGTAGTGATTATATACTTCATAAACGGACCCCAAACAAAACCTTGTGTATTACAAAGTATGAACACATGCCTAAGTGGATCGATAAAATAAATAAGCAGTAAAGTAAGAACAAATGAAGCCCTTCAGCAAAGAAAATATGTAGCACCTTAAATGAGAACTTCCAACGGGCAATAGGGTAGTGATATGAACTTTTTAAAAAGAAAACTAAAATAAAATAAAATGGAAGATGAGGAGGAACTGCATGGAACCTAATAAACAAACTTCCTTACCTATACTATCTCAGTTTATTCAAGTTACACAAAACCAACTCGGCAATCYCATCCATAAACTGAACAATTGCAGAATCAAGGCATCATAAATCATTTTAGATAGAATGAACCTAAAACAACGTTTGATTGGCATATTAGCTAATACATTTCATCTCAATGTTGAAAACATCAATTACCAAAATACTGCAAGATTAACAGAATCACCAACCTTCAAATTGTATAACTTCACAAGATTGACYTGAATAAGAATGAAAAATGAAAAATAGGAAGGGGTAGTACTCCAAGATTGACGAATAGCAGCGGTGGTCACGGTAATCAACAGCATTCGAGGTGTTCAGCGACGTTCGCGATGGTAAGCGGTGGTCGTTGGGGTCAGTGGTGGTCGCAGTTTTAAAATTGTCCGGACGTCATTGTCAATTGAAGTGTCGATTCGACCCTCACTGGTGTTGCATTGAACCAA